GGACTACGAGCACAAGGCACAGGGGTCACAATTTGATTGATTATATTCTTGATTTCTGTTCGTACTCCGGAGGAACTCATAACCTCTCTCGAGTAAAATGATGGGTTCTACATCCATTGGCTAATTTATCCCGTGCTGCCGTTTCAACCAATGGACAGTTCATTGGAGAGGCACCAGACTCGGCACTCAAGGCTTACAACCTTTGGATGGTCTTGTTTATTAGTCCGGGCCCGGACCAGAACCCTTTTGAGCAATTCGGAGTGTTATCTTCCTTCTCCATATATTCCTGTTGACACGGTAATGGCTTGAAAACACACGCTTAAGTCCGGAGACCTCCTAGGTAGTTATGATGTGCTCGGTCTTAATGCTCTCTTGAGGAGGTAAGAAAACCCGGGACTTGAAGAGTGATAAAAAGACCATGGTAAGTTATTACAATCTTGGGCAGGTTAGAATAAACTCTGGAGCCCTTTTTTAATCAATTTTATTAGCAGGCACTTAGGATCAAGATCACATGTTTTCTCGTCCATAGGAACCTCTATATTAGTAGGTACGTTATCTATGCTCAATTTCTAGCTTTTGTTAACTGGTGTTATATTTCAATGCGAAGTGTACTGACGTCAGTTCCACCTACGTCAGTACTTGTAAAACCACGCTAGGCTCCAGGGTAGGCGCGCCAGGAATATAATTCTCTTCATCTCAAGTTCTATCATTTGGTCATGTTGTGTCAACAATATGGTCTGTTTGAAATTCGACATGTACTGTTTTTCTATGTTGAAAGTGGTATATTAAAAGCTGGTTGAACTCTTACGACGAAGGGCACCCAGAGTCGTTAACTTTGATCATATGATATGTAAACCACACACATATTTCTGCATGGGGCAAACGTTGATTTGATTGAGTTCGAAAACCAGGTGACACAGATGTAACTCCAATGCCAAAAGGAAGGATACCGGTAAAGGAACAAAGTCCTAAAGAGATAGACGCTGAAAGCACAATATGCCACGCTTCACCCCTCCTTGCAACTCAGAGAGGCCAGGAACGCAAGGGTTAGATCGCGAATAAAGCTTAACGTATGAAGATAGGAAGCACGAGTCAAATCACTTGGGGATTTCAGAAGTCAAGAGCCAGTAAGTGACAAGGTAACAGCCTTGGCCGCCGTCCCTTTGCTTAAATTGCTGTGTAATCATGCCAACGTACTCGCCGAGATGCTTCGCAGCACCAGCAATTGATATTGCCCCAGTCCGCAAGCGTTCAAAATACCCAGTATGCCAAAAGTCCATGCGATGAATTGTCTTCAATGCGCCAAACTCCGGCTCGATGCGAGTCCCCCTAAACGCCTGCCATTTGATCATTATCCCTCATGACGCATCCCAAACTTTGCAAAGACAACATATAATACTCCACATTGAAAGAAGATCACTGAGTCTTCTTTCTTCTGCCGCCGCGTGTTCTCTTCTTGGGCTCTTCAATCTCCTCCTCACTTGAGCTCTCCTGCTTGGCCTTTGATCTACTACCCTCCTTCTCGTTCTCGACGCGACCGACAATGTCACGAAGGAAATCCCACTGCTCATCGGCCTCGACCACGTGTTTGAGCATTGGTGCTGTGACTCTCTTGGAGCCCTTCTCCTTGGCCACGTCGGCGCTTTTCGTTACGAGTTGGATCATAAAAAGTTCAAGAGCCTTGCCCACAGCGATCGGGGTCTGCTGAGCAACCTTTCCAACTTCCTCATCAGCCTGCATGATTCGTTTGATCCTGGCAGTTGGAAACTTGGTTCGAACCGGGGATGGATCGATAGCGGGCGCCGCAGGCGGCGCGGCTTTGCGCGGAGGCATATCTGTATCAAAAGGTATAGCACCAAAGGTCGAAACGCGCTCTATTATGCCAGTTCCCACTGGTGGTGCGTAGGATGTGTCGTATACAGTCGCGTTGGAAAGCGGATTCTGCTCTTGATAGGCTTGACCGTACGGCGCAGGTCGCGCCGGAGTGTGGTGTAGTGGCTGTGTGTACGGAGAGGCAAAGGTATCCTCGAATCCGTTACGAGAAGACGGGCGTTTGTCTGGTGAAGAATTGATGTAGGGATCTTGGATTGAAGAATGTCGCGTCCGGTAAGATTGATATTCTGGTCTTGTAGATCTTAGTTGTGAAGAAGCTTGCTGATAGTCGACTTGTGGCCGGTACTTAGTATCATATGTACCGCCGTTGTTGTTGTTAAAATTTAAGGATGGTGGAACATAAGAAGAAAAAGTAGTAGATCTGGTGTAGGTTGGGGACTCTGCTTTATATTCGTATCCCGGGCTAAAGTGACTGTCAGGCTGTGGATGATGGAGCTCTTCCTGGGTGGGGCCACTTGAATAAAAAGAAGAGAGGTCCGGAGACTTTGGGGCATAGCTGTCGTCAGTCGACATAATAAATATTTTTTTCTGGTCCGCGGTGTTTGTAGCGGAATGATTAGGATTATGGTGGGGCTTGCACGCCGAAGCGGCCGGGATAATATTGTTTTTGTCCAGCAGTGAACGAATAGAGACCCGTTACAATGCAAACCCGAGCCGGTCGTCTTTGATAGTGTGGTGGATAACGTAGATGCTTGGCAGTACAGTGGAATGAAACAGCGGGGGCGATTCGAGAATAGGTACTAGGTAGGCAATACCAAGAGTGAAAGGACGTTAGAATCAGGTTGGTACAGCGCCTCTGAACGTTTGTAGAAGAAGCTAGGTACTTTGTTTGACCAAAGACAATGTAATCGAGTTGTGGATATCGAGGATAAATAAAAGCTTAATGTCTGGCTTTATTTGTCAAGTTGTTTCTTTGTGCAAGTTGCTGTGCTTGTGGTAGGTTGGTCAGTTAAAGGTATGTGTATAAGGGATCCAAGAATAGCAGATAGTAGTATGATGCATGTAATATGGTGTCTAAGGAGAAACAAAGCGATCAAACTGAAGGAACGTCGTGTTCTTATTATATCAGACAAATCCAATGAACAAGACGGACCGGGTGCTAGTGAAAACCGTGCGTAAAGGAGACAGGGGGAGTAAGAAGAAGAGGTTTAGCTCACGAATCAGCAAGCTCGAGCTCCCGTCTCGGACTGGGGTTGGGAACGACGATGTGATATGATTGACGTGATGGTGGAGTACAAGACCACCACATGTAGGCTGAAAGGATAAGGGTGGTGATATTGGTAGACAAGTATACGGTAAAGGAAGACAAATAAGTAGCTAACCTACATACCTTTTTAACAACTAACTTAGTACCCAGAAGTGGAAGCGGTTGGTTGCAGTGCAGTGAGATGGGCGGCGGGTTACCAGGGGCTGTGTGTAAGACCCCTTGTTATTGAGATGGCCACACGTCAAAGCCCCCTGTTGAATGGAGGTCGTACAGTACGCGGGTGAAATGAGGCTCGGGAAGTAATGGTGCACGTGTAAACCGACAAGGCAGAAAGGGTCGATTTCCAGCCCAGTAAGTAAGTTCATGTAGGTTAGTGACCGAGTTGATGATTACCACGTAGACTGGACACCTTAGTGGACAAAGGTTGAGACCTAACAGGAGGTAATATGAAAATGGTGGCTGGCGTCGTTGGTAGATTATCGATTATCTTGTTTGAGTGGACCGCTAAGTTTTTGGGTAGGTGGACAGAGAGTTTTAAGATGAGGATGGTGTATGTAAGTCTTTGATGAGTGCAATGAATAGCGGAACAAGCGTTGATTCCTAGGAATGGAGAACAAGGAAAGCTTCTCGAGACTGTGGTTATGAGTCGCTTTCGCAATGTTTATCAGGGGCGTTATTTAGACGTCAGTGTCAGAAGTTAGGTAGTCGGCAATCGTATTCGACACGGCGGCGGCAAATGGCGATGGCGGGGGAAACGAGGGAATGCCGGGCGTTTATATGCACAAATGGACAGCCTGCCTTGGAACACGGGGACTTAGGTTGCTCTCTACCTGGGTACAAAGTGACTTCCGCCCAAACCCCAAATCAGAGACGATGGTGTCTCAAGCTGATCCCTCGGATCGATAGGTAGGAACCATCCAGGGGGGATCCTTCCCACGCCATGCACCATGCACCAACTACGTACCTAGGTAGGTATTCTAGGGGAGGAAAGAAAACCCAGACCTTCGATCCTAAGTGACAAAAATATTTAGGTGATACAGCCTAAGCTTAGGATACCTTTTACTGAGTTTATTTTGACACTCCACATTAAGGTCCGGTATTTTCTTGCCCTTCGAGGGTACTTTAAGTTTCAGGGCAGGAACGAGCTGGATATGGGTGCTTACCACGTGCGCCCCACACCGTAATTCAATATCATTTACACTTTACGCGTTTTCTCAATCATAAGGTAGCTACTACTGCACTTGGGTAAGTTGCCTGTTACCTACCATCTACAGTCTTATTGGTGGATAAGATACCCTTCGTTTATAACCTCATTCACTCTTCCTTTCTCTAACTCACTTGCTCATGTTTCGAAGCTCACGATGCAATATTGGTTCCCTGGCTGTGAACCACAGGCATTTCGTGTTCAGCCTCAAACATCACATAAACATGGCTGACGCTATCTGCTTTACAAGCTATGCCTAATATCAGCCGCATGGTCCGCCTGCGCGCTTGTGGAGCCCATTCCTGGGCCATTCTCCAACGAATATGCTGAAATGCAGCGCTGATTCACATCACAGAGTGACTGGCATGGCTCAGATGCCTTGTGGCAGCCCTAGGTGCTCACTCCAGGCTCCCATCGTTGAGATGCACCCACAACATCATCAGTGACTAACCTACGGGCTGGCTCATGGACACGCCACCTCTGAACTTCAGCCGGCAGATGTATCAATCTCTACCAAGTGAGTTCCACTATTTCCCACCTGCATATCCTCGTCTGCCTCTGCATCCTAGTGATGATACACGTTGAGCTTTAATCCCTGAGCAGGCCTGGTGAGGACGAAACCGAGTTTTGTACTATGGTTCCTGATTCACCGACTACAGGCATTGTCTATGAAATTTTACTTGATCTAATCTGATTTTATACTCTATCTGCATTCAGCGTACCCCATTCAAGCATTCGTCTTCTAATCTCCTTGACAGCAGTTCGAAGCCCTTGCAGCCTCTTATCCTCCGTACTGGATAGGAATAGTGAGGCTACTGGCCACGCATGAATTCCTCCGTCGAATTTCTGCCCTTCAGCTTGAATCCCAATCTTGGCTTGTCGCTTGAGAAACTCTTCAATATCCGGTGCGAATACTTCTTCTTCTCCAAAGACGATGAAGTATCCTCGTTCGGGACTGGCTGCTCTCCAGAGCCCCTCATCGACGCAGTCACCAGGAGAAGCCGGTTGCTGTTGGACCATGTTCTCTCCCGCATACTCGTGTGCATATTTCCATAAGGTTCTCTTGTCCAAAAAATCACTCTTGGAGCTGTAGTGTAAACTGGACATCAGTGTTATCCACGGCGAAATCAGTGTAGCCATGCGCGGGAGAGGCAGATGAGGTGGATCCGCATCTGAGAGGGCGCCCCGGATGTTGACCTTGATGCCCTTCTTATCTTGGTTGCCAGCCTGAGCGCCCAACTCAAGCAACAGGCTGAGAATCAACGAGCCGCCAGCCGAATCTCCCGAAACGCAAATCTTGGATGCGTTTTGTACGACTTCAAGGACATGCTTGTAACCTTCAAGTGCCTCCAGGACCTGCCTTGGGTAAACCTGATCAGGCACCAAAGTGTACTCGAGTGCAAATATTGCAGGGTTATTATATCCAGCCTCAACAAGGAGATGATGCCAGGCCATGAGGAATTCGAGGTAAAAGTAACTTGAGCCCATCAAGAATCCACCACCTTGTGATAATCAGCAATGTGAACACATGGCTAGTAATTGTTCCGAGCATACCGTGTGCATAGTAGAGGACAAAATCTGGAGGATGTTCCGGTTGGTGCATAATCCAAGTGCCCTTTGTTTTGATATCTCCCTGCTGCAGTCAGTCACCGCAACACAGCCATAGTGAGAAATTGAAACCAACTTTTCCTATGCTATATTCCCTGTAGTGAACTGGTGATCTGATATAGCCATGGCGAAGCATGCGCCAGTGAATAAATGGTAACGCAACATGTTTGCCGAAGAAGACTCGCCCAACCTTGGCGGGGATATTGGCGAAGGCATAGCGCACACAACGTATCACAAGATCCTCAAACACAGTAGCTGTCTGAGTAAACGCAAGTTGGCGAGTTGAATGAGTCAGATAACGGTCAGTGATGAACTCATAAGGAAGCCGGATCACTATATTGGATAAGTTAGACTGGCATGATATGTAGTGAGGGATAATAACCGACGGAGAAATGGTAGGGCCCTAAGACCCGTGAATAGTGTCAGAAAGAACCCAGCGTGCCATATAAGTTGAGGTGCAAGAAATATGAGAAACACCCCACAGTCAACGAGGCTTATAGGACCAAGGATCATGACGAGGACGGCTTTTCTCGATGGCAGAGGCGTTTCATGAGGTGTGAAAGGGAATTATGGGTAGATTTCCTCCCCCTAATCGAATGTCTTTGTGGCAACGATGATTGAAAGTTCAATTGGCTACAAATTGTGATTCTATGGCTCCAATTGGTTCAGTTTGAGTAGATCGTAAAGGGTCCCTGGCACGTTGAAGAAGAGATGAGATCGATGATGGAGGGGCTGGCGTTGGTTCAATAGACTGGATTCGAAACTCTGGGCTGGCGCAGCTTCTTAACGGCTGATAAGAGATCACCCACTCTTTACATGTGATGACCCTTATTGACAATTATCTCTAAGCAATCCCATCTACTCAACGGGAGCACTCGTTCAGTGATACTTTCCTCATTCATGTGAAGACGATGGCTCGTTGCTTTGTCGCCGCTGACATAAGCCTGCTGGGGCCAACTTCTCACCGCATGAGCACCACGATGGCCATTCGAGCCTGTAAGTTCAGAACTGCCTTGCATTTCCCGTAAATCATAACGTTTAGCGCTGTATCTCCGATAGCACGGGCCCGTACCTTACGAGTAAAAAACACACGTATCAGAACATCGATACCACCTCCACATCTTAGCTGGCAGACGAGGTCTTTCAGACTCTCCAAATTCTCAACAACCTACTACAACATGGGCGAGAGCCCCCCAGAAGAAGCGCCCTTCCCTCTGACGGATGTCGACAGATGGGTCCTCTCTCAGACTGATGAGGAGTTTCATAAACATGATTGGGAGGAGTTAAGGGAGATTATCAGTAAGCAGCTCTATTTAAAACCTAGTCGACATTTTCTGCTCTGTTTCAAGCCGGGCCATTGACATTAGACAGGGACGAACAACCTCTCTGTCCTGAAACGCAAGCCCTCTGACCTCCGTCGATATATGGCTTGGACTGCAGAGACCAAAGCAGAATATGGCTCCATGACGAATTATCTTCTTGTAAACCGTCTGCCTCAGGAATGGGGAAACCCGCCATTCACACCAAGATCTACTGTCCCGTTCGAGGACCCTTCAGACTACCGTATCTTGATCAATGACTGGCCTTACGGATTGGAACCGGACATCAGACACATTGTCGTGTGGTTGCGCACAACCGTCCCTACGGACTCCGAGACTGGTGATATGACACCCGAGAGCAGGGCTTTGGTCCAGTCATTCATCAAAAAGACATTCATCGATGCTCTGGGTCCAAACGGAGAGAGCAAAGTGCTGTGGTTTAAGAATTGGGTCGCCCTTCAAAGTGTACGCGCCTTAGAACATATTCATGTCCTAGTCCGCGATGTGGACGATGATACCCTGGAGCGCTGGACGGGAGAAGGTCCGAAACAGAAACCTTAGACAGCCAATAGACTTAGAATCCCAGGAGAGATCTAATGCCCCCAAAGAGAGCTGGGAAATTTAAGCAGCCCGACGTGCTCTGCGATTTCCTTGGGGAGCTGCACCAGCACCATCGCCCGCTCCTTGAAACTCAGCCATCTTCTGCTTTCCCATGCCTAGTAGCCCACTTCCCAGGTACACGCCATATGCCGGAAGAATCAGCCACAGGAACCAAGCTTTATTTCCGAAGATAATGACGAAGATTGCTGCAGCCCAGGTAACCCAGATTACGTCGAACATGTACTCGGTCAAGCCAGGAGAGGATAGATCTTCGCCAGCGGTACGCAGGGCTCGCGTAGTTGGGTCGTACTTCGGTCGACCGGAAGCCTCAAGAATATACTCGCAGATGAGGGCAGGCGCAGAAAAGAGAACGTAAAGCCAGATAGAGCGAGCACGGAAGAGGAAGTGAGAAAGGAGGAAGAGAGCGTTGACGACAAGAGAGCCGATGTGCAGGTTGTTGAGTGCCGCCGCGTTGGACTTGGCGCGGTCCTTTTTTGCTTTCTGAGCCATTGTATATGAGCACTAGCGAGTACGCTCAGGTCGATACAGCACTGGATGGTTGCACAGTGGTGATAGCTGGGAGCACGTGGTTGTTTGGTGAATCAAGCTGAATTGTTCACTGAAGAAGTGAGAAGAAGTGGAATGACGATGCTGATGACAGGGGACAACTAGCAATTCTGTCGATCTGATTGGTACCTCCACTTGCCGGGGCACTAAAACTTCTCGACATTAAGCGTGTATGCCAAAATTAACTGGCCCAGAGGCCTAGTAAAATATACTAAATTTACCTAAGTATTTTCATCACTTAGGATACAAGTCCGAAGTTTTCTTACCTCCTCTAGCCGTCATGGGTTGATGAGGTTGCTCTATTGCAGCTCACAAGACTACTAATCTATGAAATGAGGAGCTGGAGGGACTGGACATACTTTATCAGGTACCAAAGAGAATTCGAGTACTTACTTGTCCATGAACTTTCCGACTTCGCCCTCCGAGATCTGTTCAATCAAGTTCTTGGTGCCTTTTAGCTTTACCTTAGATGCTTGGAGCTCTTAAAGCTCGTCACGTGCCGAAATTGGCGATAAGCGATAAGCGCACAACTTTTTGATAATTGGGGCTTATTGCCAACTAAACGCTTCTACAACAAAAGGAATCAATCTCAACCCTCCCAGGCCGTCATCACGTTACCGTTGCAGTCACTTTTGCCGAGTCTTGACAGCCATTCACAATGTCTCACCAGAAGAACGAGAAGGACGTCGGTGACGCTCCCGTACGTCGATATCACCATCAAGTTGAACCGCTGGCACGATGCTAACGCCCATAACAGAAGAGCCACCGCATCCGAATCACCCTGACCAGCCGAAAGGTTCAGTCTCTCGAGAAGGTCAGCGCTGAGCTCATTGAGCGTGCCCGCAGCAAGGGCCTCACCATCAAGGGCCCCGTCCGTCTACCCACCAAGAACCTCAAGATCACCACCCGCAAGACCCCTTGTGGTGAGGGTTCCAAGACCTGGGATTCCTACGAGCTCCGCGTCCACAAGCGCCTTATCGACCTCCACGCCCCCACTGAGGTTGTCAAGTCCGTTATCGTCAACAGTAAGGGATCCCGCCGCCTGAAAATATCTGGGCAGAGTCTAACCGTGTTACAGTCGAGGCTGGTGTTGAGGTTGAGGTCACCATCGCTGCTTAAATGTGGTCAATGGCCTAGTCAGTGGTCGATATGCTCGGTTTCATCCTGACATTGTGAAGGAAGGGAATGATGGAAACATCGAGATCTTGCTCACAGCAAGAGTGGTGGATGTAGGATACTCAGTTATGATTAATGAATCTCTGGGAACCTCGTGTTCTACCATTCAAAACTATGAAGACCATGATGTTGTTGTGTTGACTGATATAATAACTTTGACCCGGCGCATTTGCGAATGGTACATATTCAACTCGTTTTCAATAAGGACCTGTGGACTTGGGTAGTAAAGCACTCCTGGACGATCGACTTCAACCGAACTTGTCGTGTGGACGCAGGATGTACTGCAGATGCTTATTCACTTCATAGCAAAAAGTAAAATAAGGAAGACAAGCAAGGTACCTTATGGACAGACTGCTAGGGACAATGATGCTCTAATCAGTGCTAAAAGAATCATTCTTGGGATAGGTAGCCAAGGCGCAGAATATTTCTTTTACCTCCAGGTACCTTAGTGAGGTTAGTAGGATACCTTACCTGCCACTCCTGCCACTCTGTAGACTGCACCTAGGTCTTTAGGAAATGTCGAATTGGCTGGGAATGGAAGAGGCAGACAGTCTGCAGGTACGGATACTAGCTGCTAAATCTCAGCGGCTGGAAGGACCGAGACAATATAGTCGTGGTACTTGAGATCACGCCTGGCTCGTGAGCGATAGCAAGTAGATATACTTGGTGGCTGGTTGCTAGGCGCAACCCTGAGCCAATCATATCAATTCCGTCACGCCAGGCAGGTACCGCGCGCTTGGCCAATCCGTCACCACCAAACATTCAAAGCCTGTTTCACGCAAGCACGCCCATAACGTTCACTGCACCTTCTGCTACCTCTAGCATCCCCTAAGGTCAGGCTGAGTTTGCAACCCGTCCAATACCATGAGCAACTCATATCGAAATCGTATTAGCTGGTAGCAGGGAAATTCCTTCTTTTTCTTCGTCCCTTCTATACTTTTGAGCTCCCTTCAGTCCCATCTTCATCAACAATTCTCGCTGTCTCGTTCGCTCGCTAGGACCCACCGTTCCCGTTCACGAAAGGTTGCAAGCCCATCGACGCTTGCTCGCCTTTAACGACTCCATACTTGTGACGACCTCTTGCTCCTTTCCTAGGCCGCGACATAACAAAGGCTACCTTTCAATCGACAGAATTGGCTTGCGCTCTGCATCTCTTTGTTGTTTTCTTAATCATTAAGTCGTTTCACGACGCTGATACCCACTACGACTGCCCAGCGACTGACCCACGGCTGCTTTGTTTTCTTTGGATTTGGCTGGTCCCCGCCACTCACGCGAACGGCTTAGCACGAGAATAAACAACAGTCCTGTCAAGAAGACCATTGTTGATCGCCGACTGACGGGTCTATTTCCATTGAATCATTTTATTCCGATCTTGTCCATCGATTGTCTCATGGCCAGAACACGTTGTTAGGCAACTCCGTCAGCGCCATCACCGTCCGAACCCCCGAACATCCTTCTCAATCCTCATCACTGGGCAGCAACATTTAGTATGGCGCCGACTCCGACGGCCACTAGTGGCCTTTTAAGACAAACGATATACTATCATCTCGATAATGCCTCCTACCACAACGGTCTATTCTTCGCCGAACGCTTGCTGGCGCAGGATCCCAGGTCTAGCGAGTCTACATACCTCTATGCGCTATGCCACTTGCGACTCGGCGACTTTCGCTCAGCCTACGATGTTGGCAAACCCATAGGATACCGTGGTGTTCATCTGGGGTGTGCTTGGGTTTTTGCTCAAGCATGCTTGGCTCTCGAACGATACAAGGATGGCATCTCCGCCTTGGAGAAAGCCCGAAGTCTCTGGGCATCGAAATGCAGCTTAGGGAAGCATAGCGCAACCACTAGAACCGCTCTTCCTGATGCGCCTGCAGTTCTTGGTCTTCTAGGACGACTCCATCGCGCATATGACGACAAGAAGAAGGCCGTCGCCTGTTTCGAAGAGGCTCTTCAGCTGAATCCTTTTATGTGGGATGCTTTCGAAGCGCTATGCGACCTTGGCGTCACCGTCCGTGTACCCAACGTTTTCAAGACCAGTGATGCGCTAGTACATAGCTTCGATGTGGAAACAAGCCCTTTGATATCAAGAGAAGGTTCTGGACCAATCGTACCAGATATCCCCATGAAGAAGTCCCAACGGAATGCTACAATGGATGTTGCAAGCGATCCCTTCAGCTCCAGTCATTCCCCAACCATCCATGAGCTTACTAATGGCGACTCTGGCCAGGGAGTCGATAAGAGCGAATTCATGCAGAAGATCCAAGAGGGACGCATGCGCTATGCGACATCGACTAACAGCAGCTCTGGGTTTGACGGCATGGAGACACCCCCAGGTACGATAGCCTCGGTGACGACATCATCTCGCATTGGTCATTCCCATGAGCCTCCTCAGGCTCCACCTCGAAGGACGCGGCACGCCCAAGCTATCGATCAGGCGCAGGAGGCACCCCCACGAATGAACTATCGCATAGGATCTCGACGCACAAGGGCGCAAGACAAGGGGCTACCAGAACAATCTGCAGAAAATGTAATGACTGATGCGTCTAACGCCGCACCCTCAGCAACGTTGCGATCGTCTATACCAGCAGCGGAAAGAAAACGGACTGTATCGGGACACCCAGCACAGCGAATGACAAACTCAGAAGAGCCAGCGACAACTCGACGTAGTGCAAGGCTCAACATGTTTAGACCATCGTCCAAAGCAAACTCAGGCGTGGCTGGGATGGGAACTGCGGCCGTCAGGGAGCTGAAGAAGGCTAGGCCCCCAATTTCTCGAATCGTTCGACCTGGATCAAGTGGCTCTAGTGTTGGCCGCGTGGTTAGTGGTAATCGCAAACCTCTCGAAGAGGCACAAGCCGATATGGACCACAGCGAGCTACCGAAAGCCAAGGATATCCCCCCTCCACCGCCGGTGCACAAGACATCGGAGCTTGATGCCCAGAAGCTCGAAGAAGGACTTATATGGCTGCTCGATCTTGTCAAGAAGCTAGCAAACGGATACTACTCATTATCCCAGTTTCAATGCACCGAGAGCATTCAGCATTTTCAATCGCTTCCAATGCCCCACCAAAACACACCATGGGTTTTGGCACAGATGGGCCGAGCTCATTTTGAGCAGGCTTCATATGCCGAGGCTGAGAAGTTCTTCAGGAAGATGCGCGTGCAAGCACCTTCACGGCTGGAGGATATGGAGGTATACTCTACAGTTCTCTGGCATCTAAGACGAGAGACGGACCTTTCTTTTCTCGCACATGAGTTGGTAGATTCCGCATGGCTTTCACCGCAGGCTTGGTGTGCGTTAGGGAATGCCTGGTCCTTGGCACGCGACCATGAACAAGCACTCAAGTGTTTCAGGCGAGCCACTCAACTTGATCCCAAATTCGCATATGCTTTCACCTTGCAAGGACACGAGCATGTCACCAACGAAGAATATGATAAGGCACTCACGGCATATCGCCAAGCAATATCAGCGGACCGACGCCATTACAATGCCTACTATGGCATAGGAAGGGTCCAGGAACGTCTCGGCGCTTACGATAAGGCGTACACGCATTTCGATGCAGCCCAGAGCATCAACCCCAACAATGCAGTGCTGATAACCTGCATCGGAACAGTGCTAGAGAAGCAGAAGCAAATAATGCCTGCTCTGCAAGCTTATAGCAAAGCAGTTGACCTCGCACCTCGTGCAGCCCAAACTCGATACAAGAAGGCCAGAGCACTGCTTGCTGTTGGCCAATTAGATGCGGCGCAAAAAGAGCTGATGATACTTAAGGACCTGGCGCCAGATGAGGCGACAGTTCACTTCCTCCTCGGCAAACTGTATAGAAGCATGGGCGAAAAGCAGCTCTCAGTGCGACACTTTACTATTGCCCTTGCCCTGGATCCCAAGGTAAGCTAGTAGAATGCCAGAACTATGTGCTGTTATGTACCATCCATACTGACAACCAAACAGGCAAGCCAACAGATCAAGGAAGCAATTGAGGGTTTCGAGGACGACGTGGAGATGGACGACTCGATGATGTGATGATTGTAATGAACATTACGATTTTAAAGAGTCTGCACTTGCGTTTGGTATCCTTGGTTTTGTGACGATCGGCATAATGAAGTATATGGGATGTGGTGGCACTGATTCGTGTTCCGAGGGTCGAATATATGGGATGAGGACCGGCGGTCGGCGCTACTGTTGACTTTGTTACGAGAGCATGGGCATGGCATCGGCGTTTTCTGGTATGAATAGGCTTCTTATCTTAAGCGGCCTGACTCACGCGTGCTGTGCAAATGGAAAAAGCGACTTTGCTTTTTGTGTATATTTAGCATGAGCAGCATACATTCACGCGTTGAGGTACCTGTACATTACGGGAATTGGTATTCTGAGAGGCGGCGAGTCGATGGATAGATACCCTGATAATCAGAGTAAAAAAGGTTGAGCCCATTGTTGTTGCGAATTCGCGTCTCGACTAACATTATACAACAAGAGCTTCACGCGATCTTCCTACGTAAAATTATATCAAAGTGAAGACTGCTATAGTAGATGCATCTGCATGCTCAAGGCAAACTATTTGATCCCCAACGTATTCCAATACTACACCATTAGAGTAGCTCCGAGAAAAAGAATCAAACAGGACTCGAGTTCTATTTTAGAGTATCTACCTGCCTCAGGTCTCAGGACAGCAAACACTGGAGCGTCTCAATGCACTTCACCCTCAAAGAAATGGCCGCTGACCCACCCCCGCCGCTCCGAATTCTGGCTGCAGCTGGACCTGCCTGGCACGACGGGAGTGATCTGACTTATCAGCCAATCAAAAAATCGAACCACAGCATCTCTCACGCGGGCATCCGAAAGAGGTAAAGCGCTCCAATTATAGCGAATTTGGTGCCCATTTTTTCACTGATCCTGCCCGCATTTTAGCAGTGATTTCTGGCGCCTGCAGTTGTTGGTTTTTACTGATTGCCTACACGTATTTATTCCTCCCCTTCTCGCCCCTCCCCGCTGTGTTTTTTCCTCTTTCACTCTTCTCACTCCGCATCTCCGAACGCGTCTCAACGTCATCTACAAGATCGCGATAACGCGTCACCTTCATCTCTTTTCATCAAGACTTTATCACCTTCATCTATCATCATGACTGGACGTAAGTACTTTCTCTTGTTTTTTTGATGCATTCTTTCGCCTTGATGCGTGGTCGTCGATCCTGACCATGCTGACGCGTTAATGAACTGCATTCAACACCAAGCTTCACTCATCATCAAGATATACTAACGCTTCATGTTAGGCGGTAAGGGCGGCAAGGGTCTCGGCAAGGGCGGTGCCAAGCGTCACCGAAAGATTTTGCGAGACAACATTCAAGGAATCACCAAGCCCGCTATCCGACGTCTCGCTCGTCGTGGCGGTGTCAAGCGTATCTCTGCCAGTAAGTTGACCGCAGCAATGCATTTCCACATTATTAAGATGCTAACCATCTGTCTCAGTGATCTACGAGGAGACCCGTGGTGTCCTCAAGACCTTCCTTGAGGGTGTCATCCGTGACGCTGTCACATACACTGAGCACGCCAAGCGCAAGACTGTCACATCCCTCGACGTCGTCTACGCTCTCAAGCGACAGGGACGTACCCTCTACGGTTTCGGTGGTTAAACAGCTTTCTACCTTGCTTGGTAGTTCGCTCTTGGGACGGATTATTCAGCTGCGCTTATACGGCACTGGGATGGATGTATTTGACTAAGGCGTTGGGGAAACGGATATGATATTACCATAGGCGTCATGGAAGACGACCTTGCAAATGAATACCACATTGAACATTGAACACTTTACAATTCTCCACTACTCCAGTCATATACCGTCCACTCGTGATTTATGAGTGAACCACCTTATTATGGCTTCCTTAGTGTAGTAGAGAAGTTGCACACTCGTATCAAGGTATGAACCTCAGATGTACTGTATTAAGTTGCAAACATGGTATCATAACAACGCGAAGCTTTCCTGTCAACATTCAAAGATATTTCCTCCCAGCTGCCGCTACCCTCGTTCTGAAGACAGGGCTACGCACCTCCATGTTGGCGCGGTAGAAGGGACTCATGATAGCCTTGACCCAATTCTCATAAACTTCCGTAAAAAACATTTTGATGGCTTCTTCGGTAGCGGGACTTGTGGGATTAGCCCCGATGGCAGTTGATGACCGTGATGATGTTCCGGTTGGGATGATAGGTTGATGGAGCAGGAGAAATTTGACGTTGCCGGCGGTGACGAAGCACGATATGTAGTTGTTGAAGAACTTGTCAATACACTTGAGATACCTGTAGAAGAACCAGAGTTTAGTATCATGTCGCGCCGTGTCCCTTTTCTTTGAGTCGATTATGCGCAGCCCCTTGACTGCTTCAAAGCCATCTTCTTCGAACGTGTGGGTAACAACTCACATCTGTCCATGCGACCACTGGACCTCCTCTGCGATGTCAAGACTCGAATGTAGGATGAACTGGTTCAAGTGGCGGACTTGATCGCTGAAGCGCGACTGGCCGTCACCGCCCTGCTTAGAGGTGCCAAACTCATGCTCGAATAGAGGGTTGTCCTGGGTGCCGACAATGGCGAAGTAGTAACTCATGGTGCTGTGTGTTGCATTGGCCGCGGCTTAGCAATATCCTTTGGTTTCGCTGAGTGGAGGCGCCAGGTTAATGAGGTCTGTACTGTCGCATACCCTTCTGACAATGAACGGAATGAATGAATATACGTCGTTTGCATTGCTCTGGGCTAGGTAACTACTAAGGTAGTCAATAAGCCAGCTAAATGGAAGCTCCCCACTGGAGGGAGTACCTACAACTCCCCACTGACATGGCGCCCTGTATCCGGCCCTCACAATGTTCCGCTGAGCTTCTTCGCCTATGCAGCCAACCAACCTTGCTGCGCTAAGCGTCTGCGCGGCTCAACAGCCGCCGGCTACCGGGAAAAAGTTGACGTTCATTCGACAATCACCAGAAGACTTAGGTACTCTGATTGTGTCTCCAATCTGCAACGCTATTCGACAATGTTCGGCGCATTCCGCATCACGAATCCTCTCTCAAGTGGCCTTCTTTGGAAGACCCCCTGGCGGTTGTCCAAGTTCCAGAAACGCCGCCACCGACTTCGCCTGCGAGCTGTCGACAATGTTGTAGCGACTGTTGATGCAGCTCTCGCCAAGAAAGGACAGACCCTCGAAGCTCTTGAGCGGTGGAAGGCTGAGATGCCCACTGAGGCCGAGATGCTACCAAAGGATAAATATACCATGTTCGATCGCAATGCCAAGCGTTACCGCAAGGGCATTCACAGTATGCCACTCTGCTCAGATTACCCAATTGCCCGGTTTCCAATGCTGACAATTGCACAGAACTGCCCAAGTGGACAAGGGTATCCCAGCGAATCAACCCTCCTGGTTACTAGAGAGGCGATTTTGCAGAATTGAAAGCAGGACAATCGAGTTGAGGATCTAACGGAGAACGGCGTATTCATCCCATGGCGGGAATTGCAGGCAGATCCACATTGGGATCTATGTACAACACCAATGTTTCACCTACGAACTTGAGAGGCAATGTGACGACCACATTTCCCGATACGATACAAAACAAAAAAGCTTGGGAGACGGTCTCAAATGCTGGTGAAGGGGCAGACCAGTGGGATGCATTGGGATAAGAGATAAGGAAAGAAATACCACATATGCACATAGAAGAAGGAATACAGTTATTTTCCCAAATATCGAAGGCTCTGTATGAAAATCTAAGGGTATCGAGTCCTAATCGGCGGTCAAGGACAACCGCCGCCTCACTACTGTCCAATTACTTCCCCTCGGCGTATTCGTCTCGCTCTTCGGCTTGTATCGCTCTGCCAACGCCTCCTCTGCCCTCATCGAAGTCCTCACGGTACTCGTCGCGAACTTGACCACCAGATTTGCCACGGCCAAATTGACGTCCCTCTTCAAAGCCGGGATCCAGGTCGGTACGAATGATGCGCTCGTCGAGCTTGGTGCCACCAATGTATTTTAGGCAGTCAAGGGCGTCCTGGTGTGTGTAGTACTCAACAAAGCAGAAACCGCAAGGCGTTTTGTTGAAGCGGTCGAGGCCCATGACAAGGCGCTTGATCTCGCCGCACTTTGCGAAAAGTTCATAGACCTGCTCTTCGGTTGTGTAGAAGGACCTGTTGTTGCGATGAAAGTCAGCCTCATGCGATTGATCGCTATGGTATTGTCAGCATTGTAGCGAGGAAAACATACAGGTTGCCGACATAGAGGGTTGTGGCATTGGCTAGAGGGTCAACTTGGGGCTCTGGAGGTTGGTCATGGTCGTCATCACGATCGCGTCTCCTCTTGTTCTAGCACGGTGTTAACAAGTGGCTCGAAAAGCGTGGGCAGATACCATACGCGGTTCTGGTAGTAGGCGCTCGGCCTGTCGAGCCGGTCTACAGTGTTTCTGACGCCTGGTCGCATTGTCTTGTGATCTTCACTTATCGCGGGTCTCGAAGATGGATGGGCAAGGTATCAGATTTACCAGAATGGATGATTGCGCGCAACAAGGTACGGTAGATGCTTCTTGAGCTTCAATAGCTGAGATGATGGATGTTGGTGTAACAAGAGCAGCCTTGCGCTGAGAGTGGCCCCTGCAGACAAGTGTGGCGGTGCATGTGGCATTAACTTATACCCTGCCTCTTGATGCTGTGGTAACAAGCGCTAAAGCTTTGAGTTGACGGATCGTGCGCCAGCCCCAGGCCTTCAGCCTCGTTATTTTCTTCCAAACATTCAAAGATCGCGACTTGCGCTTGACTACAGCCACTCTGAGTAGCTCGTATAGCTCGCATTATCACCTCATCAGCTTCGCGAAGCTGTGCAAATATATTCGCCAACGAAGCTTGGCTTTGTCCTCTCGCCATGCCTAAGGTCAAGAGCTATTCGGCAGCTTGGCTGTCCAGCAACGCTCTCGGCCATCGTCTGTTTGAGCCATCATCTGAGGCGTCCAAGTCTCGTAGTCTGGAGTCAGCATATTCGTCCAAGAAGAAAACCATTCCTGGTCCGCGACGAACCATTGCTCATCGAGGGACTGAAGTATTTGTTGCTGTTGGTCGCGAAATCCGCTGGGGTGATCTTGCGTACCTGAAGGATGAATGGACAAATCGTTATTCAAAGAGAGGGTCATCGCAGGGTATTTGCATCAAGCGCGAGGACTCTACACAGCCATTCGATGACGAGAGCCTAGAAAACGCTGCTGGATTAAGGGTATGTTCGAGTGTCATGACTTATATAAATCGGTAGCTAACTTGCCACTGCTCAGACAATCAAGACTCCCGTTGCCGACGACATTCGACAGCTGATTATCTCCCCGAACTCGAACTTTTTGGCCATTCTGACCACCCATACTGTCCATATCTGCGTGCTCCCTGACCCTTCACACCTCACCAGTGAAGATGCTGGCCCTCTTAAACCAAAGATCTTCACGCTTGGCCCAACCACTCACGTTACCTCTCGATCTCCTATCGTCTCGGCCCTCTGGCATCCTTTGGGTGTCAGTGGCTCTTGTATCGTTACGACCACCGCGGATGCTATCGTACGTGTGTGGGAATTGTCCACTACCGATCGATGGTCCTTCGACTCACCTACTACGTCTGTCGACCTGAAGAAACTGGTGGACGGTACCACTCTGGATCAGGACTTTTCGGCCTCAACAGCAGCCACTAACACGGCCTTCTCACCTGATTCGTTCGAAATGGAGGTGGCTGCTGCCAGTTTCTCTACTAAAGGGGCTGGTGGTTGGAACCCCATGACGTTGTGGGTGGCGATGCGAGAAGGAGATGTGTACGCCTTGTGTCCTCTGCTGCCTCAGAAATGGGCACCTCCCCCGACATTAATCCCTTCTCTGTCGGTATCGATCGTCACTACTGTTGCAAGTATCGAGGATGATCCGGATGTTGGCGAGCAGGAAAAGTTACTTGCCCAGCAGCAATTAGAATGGATGGGAGAGCTAGATTCCCAAGAGCCAACAATCATGGAGGGCCCGATTGGTGAGCCTATGACGGAGATTTACACGCGACCAACTCGACCGGGAATCATTCCTCGCTTGCAAGGCCCTTTTGACCTTCAGTCAGACCCTGACACAGGTGACGAGCTGGATACCGCGGTTACCGATATGCTCGTCATCGGCAAGAAGACAGAAACAGAGCAGCTTATGATGGGCGAAGAAGAAGATTTGGATATGGATGACGGGGATCAAGAAGGCCTTTCTCTAACCGTGCTTTGCCTCTTGTCAACGAGCGGTCAAGTTCGCGTATATCTTGATCTCGAGGGTGTCCAGGCTCAATGGTTGCCACCCAAGAACAAGAATAAACTTGGCCGGCTGCTTGCTGAAGCTGAATCTCCGTCTCTGCTTTCCTTCCAGGCCATTGATACCATGACACCTGTGGAAGTGAGTGAGGATAGTTGGCCAGTTTTCAGCAACGACGTCACATCTCGGTACAATTTCTTCGTCACACACCACGCTGCAATCACATTTATTTCTCTTACTTCCTGGATCTTCCGTCTAGAGAGTGAGTTGAATGGGGATTCCGAAGCAGGAACTGACTTTAGAATTGGCCTGCTTGTCAACTCTCAGTCTACAAGGGACCGCATCTACTCACAACCCACTGCCGATATTGCGGTGCCCTTAGCGGCATGCAATGTTCTGCGAGACCCTGACGTTGGCTACTTTCTCCTCTCAGCGACCCCCTACGAGCCCATCGCCCTGACCTTCGACGTACCAGAGGTCGATCTGGCTCCAATTCGTCAAGAAAGCCCCAGCTATGAACGGGAAACTAGTATGGCACCACTGGACTTTTATGAGCCTCGCCCCGTGTTCAACCCGTCTCATACATTTGATGAGGGTTCTGCTCTGCCTACACTGCTTGAGAGGCTCCGCACATCCCGCCACAAGACTGTTGTCAATCAGGAAGTAAGACTAAGCCCGCTTACGTTGCAAATCTTTACCGATGCGCATAAGGTCTTGGCAGATGAGACGCATCGCCTTGGAATGGCCGCGGCTGAAGTATTCCGGCGATGTGAGCTTCTCCAGAGTGAGCTTAAGCAACAAGTCATGAAGGCGAACGAGGTAAAGGGTAAGATCGACACAATTAACGGGTCGCACCGTGATGGAGAGGCGGACAATGCCATGTACGATCGGCGAGTTACTGCCGCAAGGGACCGCCAGGAGCGGCTGAGTGAGCGACTTGAAAACCTACGGAAGATCGTAGGTAAGGCAACGACGCGTGACTTGAGTGCCAAGGAACGTGCCTTTGTGGAGGAAGTGAAGTCCATGGAAGCCAGCATCTCGGCTCTGGATTACGCGGAGCTGGCATCGGGCAAATCCAGGGCGACACCGGCACAGGCTAAACAGCTGTGGAAACGTCTGGAAGACATCAAGCACCTGCAGGCTGACCTTAGTGCCGAAGTGGAGGCTATGAACAAGGCGACAGGGGAGACGGATGGGCCCGCTACACCTTCGGCCGAGTTGCGGATCCCACAAGAGGTTCGCCGGGCGAAGTTGCAGCAGGTCCAAGGACTTCTATCAAGGGAAACAGCCTTGGTGGATGCTGTCACTGCACGACTGGAACGGCTGCAAACCAGTGTTTGAAACTGATATATATGTACGATATCTACGACTCTGCAGAGTATAATAAGAGGTGCTTCCGTTGGATTTTGTATCCATTCTCCCAGGACAAGCATTCTTGGCAATGCGAGGCAAGTGAAGTAGTCAAACCCAAGACTGTGTCTCATTGGCATCTTCACACATTGAAGCCAGCCGAGAGGGGCAATTCGAGGTTAGGGCAGAGATCGCCATAGCAACAATTACATACATACATACACACACACACACACACACACACACGCATACACGACTCTGTCAAGCAGAGATCCTGGATACCGAGCCAACTCGACCAAAAGCAAAAACTATTGACCAAGGAAACAAGGTCTTTGGTATTCTTATCTATAACTCCGCGGCAAGACAATTGGGCTGACAAGCCAGCCCCCTTTGTATCATCAGCGAAATATATTGCTTTGTTGAGAAGTTGAGTTAAGACAGGCTCGTACGCTGTGGACCAATCATTCTCACGAGGCGAATCGCAGCCATGAATCAATCAACTTGCTTAGCTTTTTTGTGGCCACTAGTTACACGATGATTGACTGATTGATTTCTTGAGCATTTGCTAATTGTTTTTATTCTAGTAGCAACCCATACCTGCGCCGACCCCGGTGCGCCGCTAGATTCTTATTAAATAATAACTAAATATAATAACCTTTTAATTAACTATTTTAATGCCTTTTTAATTATAATCTTTATAATATACTTTTATTTAACTTTAATAGAAATATTTATACTTTTAGTTTTTTTATTTATTAATATAATATTACTTAAATATAGCTATAACTTACTAAAGGTATTA